CTGCACGGCACTGATGCTGCCCCACCTCGAGTACTGTGTGCAGTTTTGGGTGCCTCAGTATTATAAGGACATCAGACTGTTAGAGTGTATCCAGAGGAGGGTGACCAAGATGGTGGAAGGTGCAAGGTGGGGGTGGAGGGCAAGACTTCTGAGGAGCAGCTGAGGTCACTTGACTTCTTCAGCTTGAAGAAGGCTGAGGGGTGACCTCACTGCAGTCTGCAGCTTCCTCAAGGGGGGCAGTGGAGGGGGAGGTGCTGATCTCCTCTCTCCTCTTTCCACATGAGGAAATGGAATCAAGCTGTGTCAGGAAGTTCAGATCGGACACCAGGAAAAGATTCTTCACTGGGAGGGTGGTCGGTCACTGGAACAGGCTCCCCAGGGAAGTGGTCACAGCACCAAACCTGTCGGAGCTCAAGGAGCGTCTGGACCGTGCTCTTCCTCATATAGTTTAGTTTTAGGTAGTCCTGGGAGGAGCAGGGAGTTTGGCTCAGTGATCGTTATGGGCCCCTTACAACTTCAGATATTCTGTGATTTTTTTTCATGCAGCATAAAGAATGTTGGGTTTACAATGTAGTTTAACTTTCCTGATTGGCAGAAACAATAACTTGCTGTAAGACTTCAGGACTTAAAAGTGGAACTAATTAGTTGGCAGCTGTTGGTATTTTTGGTTGAACAAGAGAATGACTTTGATAGAAGGAATAGCACTTCTAGTAGCATTCGTTACTTGTTGCGTAGTTCTGCAAACACGTGATTTGTTTTTATGGCAACTCTTTTTTTCCTCTGGATGCAGATGATAATGAATTAAAAACTGTACGAGGAGTAGTGACAAGACTTTGCCATGATTATGGGGTGATAGATGACATGATAATCTTTACAAAGGATGCTGTTACAAAAAATATTGTGCTGGCTATTGGACAGGAGGTTACTGCCACTGTTGAAGAGGATAAAACATCAGGCGGCTTGAAGGCTATCAAGGTAAGAGGTGAAGATAAATAGTCTCACTTTCTCTGTAAATCCCTCAAGACTTTCTTTTGGAAGTTACTACAGTTTTAGCCTCCCAAATTCTACAAAATAGGAGAAATTGCCAGCCCTTCACCTAGTGGGAATAAACTGTTTTGGCTTTTTTATGATTATTTTATTCTGTATCCTTTAAAACTTTGTTCCTTTAATGCTGATTCTCTGAATATAGGTTTAGATGTAGTGAATATGAAACTATTGGTAGAGATAATTTGTTTTATTGTAACTAGTTCAAATCTGTGTATTAACTTCTTTGAGGTTCAATGTCAATTTTAAGTTGTTATATGATTGGGAAGAAAATAAAAGCAGGGACTGCAAGTTTACTTTTTTGCACAGAAGTGAACAAGAACATAAATTTCAAAACTTCTAGTTGTAAGAAATCAGCAACTTAATGTCATGGAGAGTTATAAAAATTAAGATTTCAGTATCTGTCTTGCTTAACAGTTCGTTTGTAAACCTGCTTATTTCAAGTTTGATTATACTTTGTCACAACTTTAAACTACTGAGACTTCAACTCTCAGGTGCCTGTGATAATGTAGCTGAGTCAAGTGGCCCTTCTCCCTGAAGATACTATGTAAATATGACTGGCGCTTTGAAGACTGCCAGCAGTGCAGAAGCAGCTGGTGACTGAGCAGTACAGAACCCGTCTTCTTGCCTTGTGTCTGCTTGGCTTAGCCACCTTGTACTTTAAGTACAGCGCTAGGCTAGTGCACCGCATCTAATAAACTCACTCTGACCAAAAGTCTGAGCCAAAGCTTAAGCTGCTTGTACAGAACAAATCACAGTGTAACTAGTTTAAAAGTTAACTTGAGTTTTCTAGTAGAGGGATATTTCATGATAAAGCATTTTATCAGCTTATGCTGTGTATAAAGAATGTAATCACTTGCTGACTATTACATGGTGGCTTCAGGGATCCTGTTTCAGGTAATAGGAAGGTAGTGATAGCCAAACTATTCTAATGTGCCTCGTAATCTCTGAGTATGACTGTGTGGATGAAGTGAAGGTTTCTTTGCCATGAGAAAGAGTTGCCTCCTGTAAAACACGTTAGTACAGGTGTTAATCTAGAAAGTTACTTTTTTTTATCATATTTCTCACCTTTTTTTTTGTCTTGAATTTAAAAATATTTCTAGGATTCAGAGCTCTGACTTCATCAACCACTATGGCTGTTAATCTTATGGAAGGATCTTTATCTAATTACATATAAATGGGAAACCAATTCAGAGCTGCTGGATGCTTGTGGAAAGCCTTTTTTGTAATCATTAGTCATCAATAATAAAACTGTTTTCATCTGAACATGATAATAGTCCATGAGATGTATACCAGGGGAATGTATATGGGGAAGACAGCTTTTCTGGCTGAAGTGATGAATTGCACACAATATGCTCCTCCCTAGAGGCTGGAGTTAAGCTTGAAATAAATGCAGACTGATGACAATTTTTTTTCCTCTAATGGTTGAGTTGGCAGTAACTGTACTGCATCTGATAAAATGAAGTTGACTAGAAATGTGACTTCTCAAGTAGGAGTAGACAGAAAATAAGAATACTAGAAGACTAACTTGTCCTGTGTTTTACTCTGTATACCGTTTGGGGGGTTAGATGCATTTTTATGTATTTGTGAAATGTGTAGACTGCTGAGGAAATACAGTAGAGTTACTTGTACAGACTTTTTTCAAGCTCCTTTACTGGTTTGGTGTTTACCAATGATCTCATGAAAACCATTTCTGAGATCTTGACAGTTAGTAATCAACTGGGTGTTGTTTTTTTGTTGGTGCTTTTTTTAATCATGGTTTGTTAGGCATTTGTGTGTTAATACTTTAGGAAGATTTAAAATGTTGCATGCTTCCATTTTCCTCTGTTCTGTCCTCCGCTTAACTCCAAATAGCATCAAGAACAATTCCTGAAGGCTAAAGTAAATAAGGTGTTTGATAAGAAAGATTAGAATTGTATGAGAGCAACACTAAGTCATAAAATGAACTGCAGTTACGTACAACATTGTGCTATCAAAACCTTAGCATCTTGTAAGATAACCTTATGTCTCTTTTTTTTAAGTGGAATGGCTTTCTTACCTGAAACTCAATATTGTAAGTCCAGCAAGCAATATCAGTGTTAGTCGCATACACAGTTAAAAAATAAATTACTTAAGTTTTCTTTCTCCTTTCTTGTTTTTCTTCTGACTGATAGCTTTCACAATACTGTTGAAATGCTGTCGTTACTCTAACATACATAAACGTGGTAACTGAGAAACTACATAAGGATCTGCAAAATGGCTAAGGTACTGTAGCAGTTGTGCTATGTTTTGCTGTATGTGCTGCATAATGGCCTTTTCAAAAGTACTAGGGATAAACATAATGATTTATCTTGTTCCTGTTTGTGATGAGCCATAAGTCCTGCAGGCATCTCAGAAGACCTTTTCTGGCAATGTACTTTTTGACTAGGTGAGTAGCTTAAAGCCAAGCTTAAGCCTGAAGCTGACTGGACTCTGTAGGAAGTCAAAGTCCAAAGGCAGCCTTGATTCAGTAAGCAAAGAGACAAAGCTCATTTCTTCAAAGTATGCGGTAATCTCTGAGCTCTTGCAAATAAAAAAAAAAAAAGGAAAAAGGTGTAACTGCTCTCTTCGAAGATGCCAGAAGTGGAAAAAGGCATCAAAGTTACTGTTGAGCAAGAATAACCATGACTGTAATGGGCCTCCTGCATAAGGAGTCCAGGGTTCCCACTTTTGGTCCCGAGACTTTGTCCATGTTACTGATGTAAAATATCTTTACATATGATTTCAGAAGACCAGCATTAGTGTCCCATCTCCAAGGAGTCTGTTCTAAGTACTTGAATAAAAAACTAGATTTATTCTCTACTTGCCATGTAGTGGCACAAACTTGACGTGCCCTGAGAGTTTGCTCGGAACAGCCAACAGCGTTTCAGTGATTTTATTTCTCTTTTTGTGCAGAGGGAAGGAATTAAGTCTCTCTTTAATCCCATAGTCAGAGGAAGAAATTGAGCTTCCTGACAAGCATAATCATTAAATACAGCACCAATACTACCCATGCGATCAAGACAAAGCAGTTAACGTGCGAACTGTTTCTTCTTGCTTTATAATGTACGTGTTCCTTGAGGAAATTGTGTCTTCAAGGTAGTGTTACTACCGTGCAAAGGTAGTAATAGCATTTAACAAGTGTAAAAATTGTCTTAGTATTTATGAAAATTGTGGCTAGAGGAGGACTGTATTCCATCTGTGCATGAATGCTGATCTGTAAGAGAAAGATGGCACTGTATAGAGTCTTTTGTCAGCATATTACTTTTTTCATGTTACACATTAAGAAAATACTTTATATTCAGAGCTTCTAATCTTCATGTAGAAGTGAAAACACTACAGCTAACTTTTTTTTCTTTTCTGCCCAGTTGTGGGGTTTTTTTAGTTATCTGCATTATACTAGTTTACCACTCAGTTTCTTTATTCTGGCTGTGATTTTGTAAACACTTGGCTTTCTGAAATAGGCTGTTAATTTAATGGTCTGACTTGTACACATACGCTGAAGTTCATGGAATAAGTTGTCTGTGGGTATTTCATTCATTTTATTTGTTTAATCACTGCAGAGATACCTTTGCATGCTTTCTTGATGCTTTTCTACATCGTTATCCTCATAGGCCTCACAAAATAAGAATTTGATACCTCTTTTTCTCCTGCTTTATTGCACTGTGTAGTTTCTCTGCATACAGAATCACAGAACGGTAGGGGTTGGAAGGGACCTCTGGAGGTCATCTGGTCCTATTTCCCTGTCAAAGCAGGTTTGCCTGGAGCAGGTCACACAGGAAAGCATCCAGACAGGTTTTGAATATCTCCAAAGAAGGAGTCTCCACAACCTCCTTGGGCAGCCTGTTCAGTGCTCTGTCAGCCTCAGAGTGAAGAAGTTCCTTCTCATGTTCAAGCGGAACTTCCTGTGTTCCAGTTTGTGCCCGTTGCCCCTTGTCCTGTCCCTGGGCACCACTGAAAAGAGCCTGGCCCCATCCTCTTGACACCCGCCCTTCAGATATTTGTGAGTGTTGATGAGGTCCCCTCTCAGTCTTCTCTTCTCCAGGCTAAAGAGCCTGAGGTCTCTCAGCCTTTCTTTGTAAGAGAGATGCTCCAGCCCCATCATCATCTTTGTAGCCCTCTGCTGGACTCTCTCCAGTAGCTCCCTGTCTCTCTTGAATTGGGGAGCCCAGAACTGGACACAGGACTCAGATGTGGCCTCACCAGGGCTGAGTAGAGTCAGCAGGTGTTGCTTAATGGAAGTGCTTCTGTCCAGTGATGCTGGCATTGTTACTGGCCCCAACAGTCCTTGTAGATAGCAAGGAAGCTCTGGAGAACAAGTGTTTGAACTGTGGAGTGGAGGCTTCTGAACCCATGATGGTGGTGGCCCTTTGGGAGCATGGAAGACAACTCGAAGTTGTAGGGAATTCTAGTAATTATGAGCAGAGATGTTATATCCTTGCCCCAGCATAGCTGGCGGGTGGGGAAGTGGTTTCTATGCATCAATAGTTTGTGTTCTGCAGAGGGTTGTTTAAGCAAGTAAACTTACATTTGAGGTGCTGGTACGGAGAGTCTAAGAAGCAGCTCTTCAGGTTTTTTAATTCAAATTATTAATGAATGTCTGAGGGGCAGTCTGAAATACATATAGTGTTTATAAATAGCATCTTGAAAACTCTTTTTTTGCTTTCTGAAATAGAGATGTTCTAGTGCCACTTGTGTACAACCAGATTGCTGGGGTGGGAGGCGTCCTCTTGTCAATATGAAGAAAATTCTTAAGTAGACCTAAAGCAAGGGAAGCAGGAGACAGATTTGACAAATCAACATGTAATTATAGTAGTTGTCAGTGTTGCAGCATACAGCAGACTTCTTAAGAGACGTTACTTGTTGTTTACTACTCCTGTTTTTTGTGTACAAAAATGAACAGCTACAGTGAGTACAGAATTGTCTAATAAGGAGCTTGACTTCCATAAGCAGTTGAAATTCTGATATTTATTGTAGGAATATGTTTAACATAATACTCTTAAGTATTGGCTGTTTGAATGTTGGCATTTTTTGTATGAATAGGTAGATGCCGTCCAGAATACATGGGGAGACTCCGTCTCTACTTGTTACGCTTCTGAAGTAAACATGAAAATACTAATTGGCCATATTACTTCTCTGTCTAAGGATGGTGGCTATATTAATCGGAATACTTTTTTTGCCATGGAAAACGTCTGTGAAGGTGTGTATGGGCTTTCTTGTTTGCTCTTCCTTCATTTATTTTATATGTACAACAGAAATATCTTCTGATAAACTGGCAGTCAATGTTTCTTGAGTTCTAACAGAGTGTATGTAGTGAAACAAACATAGGGGTTTGGGTGAAGAAAGTTACTTGTTCATTCTCACTGAGCATAACTTGCATGCAGTCAGGGAACAATAAGTTGCATGTAGGCAAGTGTATTTTTCCACTAGCATCTCTTGCGTATTTTGTTGTAACCTACTGGGGGAGGAGGTGGGAGGAGAAGTTTGAACTCTGTGCATCTGAATAATACATTGTTCTGGCTGGTCATTTTACTTAACTTGAACTAATTCTGTATGGGAGTAATGCAAATGTCATCAATAGCAATTAAACTTGAGAAATGTTTGGGTTTACGTAGGTTTCACACCTTATGAAGGTGACTGGGTGGAAGCAAAATATTTTATTAACCCGACAACATGGAACAGTGAAGCAGTTGCTGTAAAGCCTTTGAGATATAAACAAGTAGACAAGGTAAATGTTCTGTGCTTTGGTTTTGGCAAGAGGAATCTTGTGTGAAGTGCGATTTTGAAGGTGGTTTTAAGTTGCTAATATTGGTAGATCTACAACACATCTGTAATTAAAAGATAAAATATATCAACTCATCCATTTATATGATGATTTCCTTTTTTTAAAAAGCATGCATATTTTGGCTAGAACAGGAAGAGTAACTAATTTACTGGCTATCAATTGTTGATCTGGATGCTTACGGTTGCTTTAGTTTCGCTGGTAATGAGGATGTGTGGATTTTCAAACTTTTTTTAAGTAATGACTGTGGAATTTATTATATTTAGTTAAGCCAACTGTTTTGGCTTAAAAACAACTATTGTCCCTTTTTCATTTTAAATAAAATATTTGTTCTCGCTAGGAATACCTGTATTAGGTTTATGGGTTATTGTATTTGCCTTAACTGTGTATATTTAATAATATTTGCATGTCAAGTGTAGGAAAAAATTCCTCTCTTGTGACTGCTAGTATTGAAGTATTAATTAGATAAGTTGGTAAGTCACAAAGCAGGTGTCACGATTAAGACAAACGTATGTATTGTAGCATACACTTAAGTGGAACATGATGCTTATCTGAAGTACTTGTGTTTCTTTACACTTTTAAATCTAAAGCCAGGCAGTGACTCTAGGTTAGATCTCTATGTTTACCTCCCGTGATTAAGAGAAACTTCAGAGTGCAGCTCAGTTGATGCTAGAATGACTGTTGCAGGAAAAAACTGCAATGGTAGCATGCTGGTTAGCTTAAGCAGATAATATTGAGTAACACTGAGTAATGACTGTTACAGGTTCGCATTTCCAGCATCTGTGGAAGACTTGGTACGGTAGATGAGAGTATATTTTTCACTTTGGATTCACTGAGACTTCCTGATGGTTATTCGCCTTGTAGGCATGATCTAGTGAACACGATTGTGGTGGAGAACAATCGGTCATGTTATGTTTGGAGAGCTCTCTGCTTGGTGCCAGTCAGCCAGGATGGGTAATATTCATTCTTTCATTCTCTGAATTGTGATTATGCAGCTTAAATTTTGTTGTGCCTATTAAGTGAGAAATACTGTGAATTCTTTGCTAGTTGACTAGGAGGCATGATAGATCATTAGGAAGATCAGTATGTGATGATTTAGCCGTTGCTTTTCCTTCCTTTCCAGGAGGTGGAGGCACCTGTGTTCACTAGAGAAGCAAAACGAGTAGCAGCTGAACTCTGGGATATTGCTAGGCAAGGAAGGATTTTTACATGGTTTGGTTAGAAAAATGCCAGCCTCCTGCTCTTCCCCTATGTTTCCTCTGATCTGTATTCTAGTGAGGATTTCACTGTTTGAAAACCATTCTCAGCAAAACTGATGTAAAATGGGTGTTTCTTTAATCCATTTTGCTTAAGTTGCAGTGATTCTTCAGATATCTGTCCTAAACAGAGTAGTTTAGTCATCTGAATAGTAGATATTTGTTGAGCTTGCCAATATCAAACTCAGAGGTTCTCTGGGCACTTTAGACTGCATATGTGATGTCAGGAGGATCTGGACAAATTGTAGAAAAGGCTGGGAAAAGTAGATGTTCAGTATGGAGAAGAAGCAAAATTTTGTTAAATAATCACCTACATAAATGTAGAATTGGCAACAACTAGTTGGTAGCAGTTCTGCAGCAAAGATCTGGAGTTTGACTCGTGAGTTTAAGTGTCTGTCCTGTGAAAAACACAAATACAGTCCAAATGTATATAAATAGGGCTGTTACCTGTAAAATCTGTCTGAGTGCTAACAAGGCCTTGATAGGATTACAGAGTCTGATTCCGCAGGCCGAAAATAAGCTGTCAACCAATTAGAAAGACCGAAGGAGAACAAAAAGGACATTCTGATACCTCTCAAACATAGTCTTTGGGAGAACTTGCCTTGATTGATCTCTAGGAAGTATAGCTAAGGGCAGTACTTATGTCTTCAGAGGAACTATGAAGAATGGGCTAAGCTATTTGCACTGTGGATAACAAAGATTTAAATTGTACCTAGATGAAGCTTGAAGTGTTTACATCACTTTGCACCGCAGTAGAATTTATTAATTTTTTCAGTTGGACCTATTTTTAAGGATGGATTTTATGCAGAAAACTATTACTAAAGCTAAGTTACAAAAGTAGACATTAAGGGTGATTTCTCACTTTCAGTATATTTCCCACCATATCAAAAAATTGAGGCAGCTTCAGCTGCAGTGGGAGACATCTAGTGGGCTTTGCTAGTAAATCGATGTAGCTAATAAAGAACAGCTGCTGTCATTTTCTATTTTACTATATTGGGTAACTAAGGAATACTTAGGGTGTGTAAATATTGGCAAGATTATTAAAATATTTCCACGTTATTTTTGTGCCACTTTAGCTAACTGAATAGTTTCTTAATTATAGAATAGAAATTATTTTTTTAATGATTTCTACATGTAGCTGACACTAAGAGGCTGGAGGTCAGTCTCAGGGAAGAGCATGTGACTTTGATTTTGTAGGCATTTTTCATCAGTAGTAGTTTTTAAGGGTGCTTTTTGGGTTTTGGCTTTTTTTAATTTCTTCGGTTTGCTGCTTTCCTGTTTGTAGCAGTAAGCAGAAGACATAAGTACTTGGGGTACATGTTGAAACACTTCCAGGATAGTCATTTTATCTCTTAAGCTCCGCTGCTAATCGGGACTGGTGCTAAGGAGCTGCTCTTTGTGTCTTGGATCAGCGCCCAAAGAGATCGGTAACAGCTTCAGTCACCATTTGATTCAGCTCTTCAGCAAAGATTAGCTAGCTTCTTAATCATTTTAGTCATGTATCCAAAGTTTTATGCTGGTTTATTGTGCTGCTGACAAAAGACTTATTGTTTTTAATTTGCTGATTAAATTAATAAAGGTAATCTAACTGTCTTGGAAGTAAAAGTAGCTGAGAAAGTGAACCCTCTCACCTGCTTCCTAAGTACTGTGACTGTGCTTTGGTGTAGTGATTCTTAAACTTGTGCTGTCCAAGATTCTTGCTGAGTCTATTTGTGTTTCAAAATTGATAGCTAAAATTCTTTTTACAGACAATCTCACTCTAATGGAGTCAATCTGGATGAGCCTTATGAAGATTTAATAAGGGACAAAGCAGGGTTGGAAGTATCAAGAATGAGTAACTTTGGAACTCTGAAGCAGGGGGAATCTAAAAGAATGATCGTTTGGATAGAGTAAGCCTTTCTGATTCTAAGCTTGCTTTCTTTCCCTCAGTCTATTGTCTGTAAACCTGTCTTTCATACAGAAGCGTCTCGTAGTTGAGCCTTGTGGTTCATGGTCTTCAAGTAACCCTTGAATACTGTGGAATTAAAGAGAAATTCATATTGAATTTAATGTCTTTAGGATAGTCTTTTTATTGGGCATCTATCTTGCAAATAGTGCTTTAAGACTCCCCAGTCCTAAATTCCTTTTCAGTCCTAATAAAATCCTTTCTGGAATGAGGATTATTGTAAGTGTGTTTAATTTAAACTGCAGATACACTATACTCCTCAGAATCTTACCACAAGAGGACTGTTGCATACCCTTGTATTAAAAGCAGACCAGATTTTTTTTTTCTAATTGGTTTGGTTGGTTGGTTTTTAACTTGGATGCTGAAGAACTGTATTGGTGTATCCCTGAGAGTTTTTTGGGTTTGGTGGTCTTTCTTTCATTTTTGGGGTTTTATTCACATCTGAGCAAATGAAGTCATGCTTGAATACCCTCTATTTGTTGCTAAAATGGTCTTTCCTAAAAGTTGATTATGCAATAAATTTCAAGTTACCATAGCTTTTTTGTTTACACCCAGTATTTCTGTATGCTTCATGTCGTGGTTGATATGACCTAGAAAGCGTAACATTTAGCAGAGCTTCTAGTCCTCATGAGTTAGAAGCAGCAGTGCAATTTCTTTCTGATAAAAGTTATAATTGTGAACTAACCTGCTACAGACAGTTGTATTTGACTTCAGGTAGAATTAAGCTTCCCAAGAACATTAACTATGCATTTAATCATGTAATTAATTACATAACTACTTCTAGGAATAAAGGGAGTACACCACAGTCCTTAATCAGCTGCAGATTAGCTGGATGGGTGAAAGACAAGCAATTCAGTTTTCAGATTGCTCAAAAATGTGAGAACGGTCCAGAAGCCTATCTGTCATCTCTTCCAATAAATCAAGAAAACATTTCAAAAGCTGCAATTAATTCATATAACAGCAATGGAGGAACAACATATGAGTCATTGAATAATGAATCCATTATGAAGAATGGAGTCATTGCAGGTACAGTGAAATGTTAACATTTGAATGCTGAGTGTTAAGTCCTCAGAAGACCTGTAGGTTTGTTTAAGACTTGCTTATGCTAGTGATAGCAGTTGTGGTGACAGAATTTATCATCTGTTTACTACAGAAGGAATTAATTCTCAGGCTGCAGATTTATCAAGGACAAAAGAAAACTTTCCATTGGTGAAAGATGAAAATCTACGTAATGGAGAAAATGAGCAAAGAGAAAATGTGGAACAACCAATGAAGCCCATCAATATTACCGGAGAAATTGTCATACCACCAGGTGAAAAAACATTCATAGTGGTCATATGCACAGCTGTGTAAGTATTTCTTTCCATTGATTCTGACCAATGCAATAGGAACAAGTCATAAAAATTGACTCGATAGTTCCCTGCTTCTGGGCACAGTTCTCTTGTTGGTATAGGGTAAAATAAGCCAGTACATATTAGTAAATGATGTGGAAACCTATATTAGATCTTGAGAGTAGTCGGTGTTTTAATGCTTGATTCTGATTTTTGTCAAAAGAAAATTGTAGTAGTAAATGAAGAAACACAGTGGGAGTAGATAACTTCTCTAAAAAACCACAGTGAGGTGAATATAATGCCTACAGCTGGTTGTATTCTCTTCAGGAAACCCATTGCTCTGTGAGCGCTAGAACTAATGTAGATTTCCTGGGAATTTTTGTGTTATGTCTGATACATTTCTTCCAGTCTTGGCACCCCGACATCATATTCGTGTTGCTACACGCCTCAATCTCAAGCTTCCCTGTCCTGAGATACTAAATGCGTATTACGTATGCTGAAAAAAAAGGAAAAAAGCTTTCTTCCTTCAAGGTGTAGTTTATAGAGGAGGTGGTTTGCAGATCTTAGAAAACCCTTGGAAAACAAAAATACTTTGCTGTACAAAATATTCCTTCTGAATAACTGAATCCATCAAAAAGGGCTTCATGTGAGCTGTGTCAGAATTCAAGTAGGAACCTTATGCTGGAAAACTTACTTTCATGTACTCTTCAGTTACTTCCAGCTGTAGCTCTGCAAATCTTGTGTGCCACAACCATTGATTCTTATTCAGTGTTAAGTTAACTCAGTGATCTTAAAATGTCTCTTCCAACCTAAACCATTCTATGATTCTGTAATTTAAAAGCTGAACAGGGGAAAACAAGGTCAAATGGTTTAATTCATCAAAGTAACACTGCATTAACTTTCACAGTACTTCTGATACCATTTTAAGTAGTGAGGCAAGGGATGTAAATTTTTGTAGGAGGATGATTTAGCTGTAATTTGAAAGAGAACTTGCAGGCATGGCCTCCCTTTGTGGAGAAATACATGTGGAAATACATGGAAAGAACAATTGATATTTCTCTGTAGATCTGTAAATGTCGCAAAGTCTGAGAATTTTCTAATAATACAGAACAATACACACAAACATCCACGTGAGGCTACAGCATGAAGGTAACGAGTACTTGCTGGCCACTTAAGAGACCATAGAGACTGCAAATTTAGACCATAAATCTGGACAGTTCAGTGTCTGCACTGAGTTCGTGTATCTGAGAAAGCCAGACTGTAGCTTTAACCTGAGCAGATAGCGTTAGTTGGCGTGAAAAAGTGGTACTCCTGCCGAAGAGAAAGTAAGCTGGAATCCTTCTGGGCTGCTTTTCAGGCACTTGCTAACAGTGTTGGACTGTGTAGTTAGTGCTGAGGAGAGAACTGGGCTCTGGGTAGTGCTGGGATAAGTTCATTAAGGGATTTCAGAGCAGATGGTGTGTGTTAGATCTATTGTCTTAAGTTCCTTAGAAACCAAGCTGAAGAAACTGTTCCCTCCTTTTGCTTTTATCACTCCCCAAGTACCACTTACACATATAAAGTACATTTTTTGGAAATAAAGGATTTTTCCTACTTTCTCCACTTGATGTGTTTACAGTTCGGATTCACTTCTGAGTAGCCTTAAGCAAGGTGGAGCAAAGCTGTTGCTGGGAACAGTGAAGGGATATGCTTTGGGTTCCTCTGGTGGAAATGTTTGGCTAATCTTTTTCAGTAACAGTAATTCCAAGATGTTCCTTGTGACAGAACTATTAATTCTGTACCTAGCATGTTGAGAGGAGGGATTTTGCTCTTTACCCAAGATTTTGATGAAAATGGGGTTTTGAGATTTTTTTTACTTGTTTTTTTGTTTTAATTGTGTGTGATACCTGGATTGAACTCGGGGTGCAGATTAAGTGTGAGGAATTACCCTAAATTAGCAGTTCTTATATGTTACTGAAATGAGAATCTACTGGGTTTATTCAAAAAACAAAATACTATGGGTGGGGAAAATAAAGTCTGAACATGATGATTCTAAGAACATAACTTCTGCTTACTTGAAGGAATCCTGGGTACAGTAAAGAACTCCTATTGCTTGGTTTTTCTGATTTTACTGTTGGACACTATATTGATGTCACTGTAACAAATGAAGAAGAATTACTCATAGCACCTGTGGAGCAGTTTTCTCCGAGAAAGCCTAAAATTACTCCAGGACCTCAGCCAAGGAAGACAACAGTGTTTGCCCCTAAATACAGAAGGTACTATGAATTAAAGCAAAAAATAAGACTTACCTAATACTGTTCTATTTGGTATTGCTATAGATATAGATCTGTTCTGTGATGCTGTCAAAGAAGATGCGAAACCGGGAGAGTCTGTACATGTATGTTGTAAACAAGATAATTGTGAACATTACTGATAGAAGAGGTTGGTTTAGTGATGAACTGCTCGATTTCCTTGTAGATTTGTCAAACAGGAGCTCTTTCTACCATATAACGTGGTGATAAAGAAGATAAACATTCTTGCATAGTAATCTACAAGTAAAGTGTTGTTAAGAGGTGAAAAATTTGAGGTAGTTTTTTGAGAGAGCTAGCTTCTTAACTCCTCAAGCGACTTTGATATCTATGTCTGATAAATGTTTCCCGTCTTTCATTCAGAACTTTTCCTTTTGCAAATAAGCTTCCATTATACTTACAATATTTGCTTAGTTATAAAAATATCCCTGAACTGAAAAAGCAGATACACAATGCTTTCAAATAATCTGTAACTGGAACACTTACCTCTCTTCACAGTATAGCAAACTTCTCAGTTGTCACTTTGAAGAAATTATTGGGTCTGTCATGTGTGTGTTTTGGTTTTATAGCTTTGATGTGGCATGTTAATTAGCTGTTTTTCACATCTATAATTTGAGAAAGCTAAATGATGTGTCATATTTTTTTGTTTTAGAAGTAACAGAAAGTTGCCAAGCTTTCTCCCACATTACACCATACCAGATGAGTTAAGAAGATGTGTGGAACAGAACTTAGACATACTGACCTTTCAGCCTCTCCTAGCAGAGGTATGCAAGTTTAGGTTTATACAAGAAAATATATTTTGTATAAGTATGTTTGTTCAAGCTGGCCTTAATTTAGCAAAAATGTATAGCCCTTGGTGTAATAGAAGTTGATGTAAGACTGTTACCAAGTGGGCTTAAGACTTTAGTCTGTATCCCTTAACTTCCATGGGATTCAGTACGTCACAGAATCCAAGCTTACAAGAACACAAAAGGGTAAATGTGAAGAACTGAAAAGGGAGTAGGAGTATACTGTCAGGGGGGATCCTGCAGAAGCTGAACAAAGATGCCTCTTCACTCTCACTTTTTAGGCATCGTTGGAAAGGTGTTTTGGGGTGTCAGAACAGTAGCCCAGCAGTTGCTTCATAGCAAATGAAAGCAGAAATTCTTAAGTTACTGCAATAACAGAGGATTCTTTTCTGATTCTCCAAAACTTTTTTAAAAATCCTCAAACTTACTATGGCTTGTTAAAATTCTTTTCACAAATGTAGTGTTTTCAGAATATGAAAAAAAAACCCAAACCACCAAACAAACCTTCTGAAGTCTACCAAGGATATTACAGTGATTCCTTCTCCAAGACTTTGTCCATTTCTGGTAGAGAGCTGCTGTCGCTCAGTCTGTGTTTTGCCCCTGAATTTTAAGGACTTACAAACTGGGGCTGACAATTTTTCAAAAACGTAAAGGGCTATGTTGTCTGCTCTCTAAACCGCTCACCCAACCTGAGGGCACGGCATTAAGATAGGCTAGTGATCCTCTCTCAGCACCAAAATAAAACTCTGTAGTATCTGAAATAGTTTGATATTGAAAGCCTGCCATTAATGGTAACTTTTTTAACCACACCTTGAGTTCTGTCTGGTACTGGTGACTGTTTTAAGTCTGCTCCAGAAAATGCTGCTCATCCACCTCGTATTTGAGTGAGAAGATATCAAATAGAAAGCATTCTGTGCTGTCAGTCATGGTTTAGCTAGAGCTTTGGAGAATACCTCTTTGAGATGCATTAAGCTCTGAGGGAGAAAATTCAGGGGGTTTTGACCTTGCTGTAAGCTGTATAATCGTCAGCCAGGGCCAAGACTGACCTGACTCTTAGCTCTTCAACCCTCTCTGCCCAGTGTACTTAGCAATCCCAGAAAGCATAAAATCTGAGCATAGAATTCAGTTTGTAGGCTGCCCCTGAATTCAGATGCTGAAACTGCCGTTGTAGTAGGGAGAGACTTGGTTAACTCTTCAGCTGACTGGCTTTTGTATCTGAGCTCCAAGGACTCTGCTAATTCTGCTTTGACTACTGAGAGAGTTTAAAATATTAGTGTATAGATACATGCATTTAGGTGCCTTAATTGGCAACCCAGTTGCTGTGCAGTCTGTCTTAAAAGGTGCTTTGTATAATGTTAGGAATACCAGGTTCCATATGTTAGTGTAGAAGTTACAGCAATAGTGTATACTGTTCTGTTTTTCAGCGTCTTAATCTAAATAATTATAAAGTCAACTTTTCTACTCTCTTGTGGCTTGAAGAGATATATGCAGAAATGGAGATGCAAGACTTTAACATGAGTGGGGTTACTTTGAAAAGGAATGGGAACTTGTTAGTGTTGGAAGTGCCAGGAGTGGAAGAGGGCAGGCCTCGCCTCACTGCAGGTATGTATGAATGTGAGATAAAGCCAAATAGCATGTTGGTCAATATTTTCAGTGCAATACAAGCTTCATTGCTTATTCGTTTGTTTAAAGAAGTCTTTCACATACTTGAACACAAAGTTATTATCTAGGCTACTAGGCAGGTGAACTGCACTGTCAGTGTCGCAGTGTGAGTCTTGCGGTGGCTGCTCTCTGAAGCAGCATTGCCTATGTCTGTTCTTAGGTGTGTTCTGACACTGTAGGATTTTTCATGTATAAGAATTGATGAGGCATTCAGCAAAAATAAACTTACAAGGCAATAAGTGTATCAAAAGCTGGGAAAGTAGTTAAAATTTAATTCAGAATCTCAAATATATTCAAGATCCTGTTTTCAGGAGGTGTTGTCTGGCGGCCTCAATATTAGATGCTTTTTAAAATGTAATATACAACTGCATGTGGTATTTCAGAACCAATACTCACAGATGCACCAACTTTGCTGAAGTTAGTTAATAACTGGCGTCCAGCAAATTCCTAGTGTAACCATGCAGAAGAGGAAGAAATTAAGTGCTGTGGTGAGAAGTTACTATTCCTTGTAACAGTGTATTGCCTTTTAACTCTGTTTACAATTAGGTGATAAGGTGATACTGAAAAGTCAGGTCTACTCCAATCATATAATAGAGTACATTGCCTATATTACTGAGGTAAGCAAGGTGTATCTCCTATTCAAAGTATTGTGGCCCACAGGTTTCAAAGGGGAAGCTGGCAATTCATGGGGTTAAAGACTAGTTTAACTTAACTTCTGGGAAGCTGCATTTTATCAACATTGAGTGGTGATTTTCTGTTTTTATTTGTATATTTTGAAGTCTTTGGCTTCCCTATTCTTTGTAGGTTATAATCTTTACCTGCTCTGAAAGCACTCGTGTACGTATGCAGTACACTAATAGTGGGTAAATCTAGATGTTCTTTTTGGAGGTGATGGGGGGGTTCAGTGCTTTCAGAGGTACTTTGTGTTTAAAGGACTAAACCTTCATCGTAAACTGACTTTTTATCTTTGCCACAGATATGTAATGAAGATGTTACTCTTAAATGTAATGCAGACTTTGAACAGACTTACAACTTGGAACCCATGGATGTGGAATTTGTCCACTGCAGGTGTGTTTATAAGTTTCCAAAAAGCTGCATTTAATGATTCCTCTAGTAAAATGACTTCTAAAGTATACATGACTGTCGATTGGTTGTTTTGGTGGATACAGGTAGAAGGACGTAATTAAGATCTTGGCTGTTCTTTCATCTCTTTCACTCAACACACCCTTGCTAGTACATTCAAAAGGCTGCAGCTGTGGTCACTGTGTACAAAGAATTCTTGTCTTAAGCCTCTCTGAATGATGGCACCAGTGCCAAGTAGTGAAATGGGGGGGTGAGGGGGGTTGTTTTGGTTTTTGTTTTGGTGAGTTTTTTTCTTGGGTTTAGAGGGGGGAAAAAAAAATGGCTGCAGGACAAAGCAAAAAAAAAAAAATTGCTGGTCTTAACCACCCATTGTTTTCTACTTTTGTTGATGGGATGTTGTTATCTGCATATAGTTGCTCAATCAGCTCTATAAAATCAGCTTTGCGTAGAACTTCCTTGAAAGACTTAGATAGTCTGGAACAGCAGGCCATCTTTGGCTCACTGAAGAGCTAGAGAATATATTATCGATGTTATTCATAGCAAAGCTGTTGATTGAGACTTCTGCAGCATGTTTCTCAATAGATGCTTCTTTAAAAAAAAAAAGTGTTTTATATACAACTCCTATATTTATATGCACTGGTGCATAGTGAAAAATGCTGGATACCTTGTAGGTGTATGCTGTTGTAGTTTCTGGAAACGTAAGCTTTTACTTTCATCTATAAAGTTGTGTTCTGATAACAGGATTACAAGCAGGCGATGCCAGCTGGCAGTTGAGCAAGCTATCCACCTGGGTCAAAAAGGTACATTTCAGCTGACTTAAGCTGTCTAGAGGGAGTCTTGTGTCTTACATTGCTTTCACATCGGGGCATACTGAGAACAACGCATTGTAGTTTGTTCTTAGAGGAGTTTTCTCTAATTTTTTTTAAAGAAAACAAACTACACTCTGAATCTAGGGTAGGTGTCATCAGAATGATTTCATCTGTTGGCAATCACAGGGGAGAGGAGTGGAAACAAACTTTGTGAATGGTTTGAGCCAATAAGAACTGTAGAAATCATAGTTAAAATTCACTGCAAGTGAAATAGCAGTGTTTTGTGTTACCTCAGAATTTATTCAAGAGCACTGTTTTCCTGCTTTGTGGTTGAGTAGAACGGTCCACATGAACTTCACACAGGTCTTTAGCACTTCTACGTTAGTTCTAACAGACCAGTTTCGGCAATTCAGAACAAGCTGATGTATCAGCGGTGATGTAGTCAGTGAAATGTGCAAAGTGTTTCTGTGGCTTTAAAATATCTCTACTTTCTCTTTCTCATCTAAATTTGAAGTGTTATTTCCGGAAAGGCTTGCCTTACGATCACCACAAGCTATCAAGACCCAGAATACTACTGAGTATTGTGTTGCTGATGATGGCCTTGAACAGTGTTCCCAGCAGGAAAGTAAGGTATCTATTCTGTAAGTGTTCCTGAAAATGCCGCATACCATTCAGATTGGTAGCAGATAGCTACTGTACGGCGGCTGTTAGAAAGGAATCGCATAACGGGGTATCAAAGAGTCAAAGTTGTAATCTCCTGCTTTCTGAGGACAGAAGCTTTTGTTTGTCTGGGGACAGAGGATTTTAGGATAATTGACTATTAAGCTAGCGCTCCCATCTCAAATGGAAAGCGCTTACAAAAAACCTGTATGATTGGAACTGGAATTGTCAGATTCATCTTAGACTAGTTTTTGTAGTTAGTCTTGAGTTGATACTTAAGTCCTGTCACCAAATAGTTTTATGATAGAAGGTAATAATCCTGTTCTGGGTAGATTACCCAGGTGTCTTAACTGCTAGTTAAATTATACAGAGAAAATGTAGAAATGTGTCGTAGAACAGACTTCAGAAGGTTACCTAGTCCACTGTCCTGTTTGAAGCAGGACTGTCACCAACACTAAATCAAGTCACCTTGGAGGGGTGGGGAGGGTGCATGTTTATTTTTGTCTAGAGGTTCCACAGCCTCTGCATAACCTGCACTTCACCAACTTTCCACTCAAGATTTTTTTTTTCCTAATTCCCAGTATGAATCTTCTACCTGCAACTTGTGGATGTGGTCCGTTGTTTTATCATCTGTGACTACAAAGAAGAGTCTGTCTCTTTTTTTGGGGTGTTTTTTTTTTTTTGGTAGCAGTGTGAGCTGTTAGACTGCCTCTTCACCTGCTCATGGCCAAACTGAATCTAAGCGCTCTCAGACTCTACAGTGCAGAGCAAGAACATGATACTGGCTCATATACAGTTCTAGCACCCACAGTAACCCAGGATCCTGAAAAGGGCCAAAGGATTACTCCTTAGTTTGTGGGTTCTTGGCCTTCACACTGTTCAATCCCAGGCCTGGAGCTTTATGCTTCTCCTTTGAGTTTCATGAGTTTTCTGTTGGTTCTGTGGCCAAGTTCTTCATGGTCCCTCTGAACTGAAGATGCACTATCAGGCATTTGAGGTATAACTCCTGATTTTTTTTATTGCCTGCAAATTTGTTGAGGGTGTTATTTGGTCTCATCCTAGTCATTGATGAAGATACTGAATAATATTGGTCCCAACAGCAGCCCTGGGGTTCCTGGCTTTTGACCAGCTTCTAGCTGAGTATTAAACTGTTCATTAATACTCTTTGAGCCCAGTAGTTCAGTCAATTTTTGACTTGTCTCACTGTCTATTGATCTAGCTAATATGTCCTCAGATTGCGAATAATAATGATGTGGTAAGTAAACCATTTCAAAAGCCTTGCTGAAGTCAAGGAGTATTCCAATGACAGCTTTTCTTTTGTCCATGTAGTAGCCTGCCCACAGAATAGTTCCTTCATCTTAGAGGAAAACCAGGTTGGTCATGAAAGGCCTGCCCCTTGGTTTAGCTGTGCTTACTATTCCTGGTTGCCCTTTTTTCCAGTCGTGGAGGATGTGGAATCCAGAAGGATGTGCTCCATGATATTCTCGGGAACTGGAGTGAGGCTGATGAGCTACAGTTTCCTAGGTCTTCATTGCCCATCTTAAATTGGAGCAATATTAGCTTCTTCCTGCTGTTAAAGACATTTCCTGACTTGTCATGAGTGTTTTTTTATTGCTGATAATAGGCAGCAGTGCCCACAACCGTATCGGCATGGTGAATCACATCTACCCTCTCCAGTGTCTCTAAGCATTTTGTGGCACAGTCCTTCCCTTCTGTTACTTGTTCCTTTCCTTCCCATGCTGTTACTTTGCACAGGTGTCTGGAGCCCTGCATGTGAGGCAGCAAGGGTGTTGAGTTCTTTCCCATATCATCCGTCAATAAATTCTCTTCTCTCAGCCATCTGTGAGCCTACATGATTCTTGAACTGTCCCTTTTCCACCACAACATGTGCTGCCTCCCTTACTATTCCGTTCTTGCCACGTTTTAGCTTCAGCTGGACTTTGATCTCTTTGACCTTCCTGATTTTGTCCAACTGTCCAAGCAGTGGTTTTGTATTTTTTCTGTCCTTATTTCTGCTCATAATAACCTTTCTATGACTTCATCAAGAAGCTACAAGCTTAGCTAAGCAGGCCTTCTACTGAGATTCCCAATGATCTTGTGCAAGAGGATGGTTTATTTATAATCTCTCAATAAACAACTTTTAGCTCTCCTGGGCACCTTTTTCTGCACATGGTGGCTTCCCAGATGATTTTTGCCTTAGTGGTATGTGAATGTTAGCTTTTTGGAAGGAAATAAGTTATTCAGCTGTGGCTTCAAGATCCTCATCTGAGCCTGCAAAATATTTGTGAAATAAATGTTTAGTGTCAGCGTAAGCCAAAATTTTAGAAATCTTAAATTTAAGGTGAGAATTGGCTTGCACATTCTTCTACTACTCTTTCTGTCTTCACAGTAGATACTCTGTTTAATGGGATAATGCTGTTGAATGGGAAAAATTAAAAACTAGCAACTTGAAAAGTGTCAATGAAAATAGTTGCCTGTCATCTTAAGGTTATAAATGCATTTATCTTCACTTGCTCTTTTCAGGTCAATAAACTGCAGGATAAACAGGCAAAACTCATGCCATCGAGGGAGGTGACCGTAACGGATGTGATGAGAGGAGCTGTGCAAACAAGCCAACTTGGTAAACTTTAATACTTGGTGTTCAAGTATAAATAGTTCAGGACTGCAGTTGCTTCAGTTAACCAGGGCTGAGTAAGATACCTTTTAGATGCCCTTGTGCTCTGTCTTTAAAGAGAAGTTCTAGAACAGTATTAGTAGGAAGTTTTATTGGAGTCTTTCTGTGGATTACTTGAACGTCTCCAGTTCATACAGTCACAGAATGGTTTGGGTTAGAACCATGGGCAGGGACACCTTCCACTAGACTTTCCACTTCCCCATCCAACCCGGCCTTGAGCACTGCCAGAGAGGGGGCAGCAAACATCTAGTGATATATTTTGCACTCAATAAATTATCATTTCCCAGGCATTTACTGGAAAACTTTAGGTCACGTTCAAAGTTTCTGATTTGTTACTGGGATGCTGTGTCTCATCCTTGGGATAGCTATTTTGCCAAATATGCTAAAACTTTAGAAAAAGCCCAGATCATTCTTAGGCTTTTCTGGAAAATGACTTTAAATATCAATGTGCATAATTGCCAAAGAGTAATTTTATCACTTTGTAGCAACTTTAGGATGCTGAAAGAAATAGAGAATGGATTACCTAGAATGCACTTCTATATGAGGTTTAATAAGAGTCTGCTGTGGAAAGCTAAAGCTAGACTAATTCAGACAGGATTAAGAAAAAAAATTCAGTAGTCGTAACTTACTACTCATCATCTAATACTGGTACTATCTGTGAAGCATCAGTTACTGAAAGTTTCTGTAATTTTGCTTTTCTAGGACAAAAAAAGTGAGCTCGATGCTAAAATTACTGAATGGAGTTTTTACAGATTGTTGGGTTACATAATAATAGTCCTTTTTTGGCCTTCAATTTTGTTAGAGATCCAATACATTTCTGAATTACTAATGGCTAATTTTCTACATGAAATCATTTTTTTGAGAAATTCATTAATTGTTACCACGTAAGGAAAATGAAAGTGTTTTGAAGCATAATGTGAATTGGAATTGCTTTAAACTACATATGTTAAAAATATTTATGTGGGGCTTTAATATATGCTTATCTTGATTATAGTTGATGAAACTGTAAGGCTTAAACAGAGGGCTGATGAATTTTTCAATCCCACGCTGAATGAGCAACAGAAACTGGCAGTGAAAAGGATACTGCGTGGCGAGTGTCGTCCAACACCTTACGTCCTGTTCGGACCGCCAGGAACTGGGAAAACATTAACAGTAATTGAAGCTATTTTACAGGTAATGGCAGATGACAAATGAGTCATCTCTGATCTTTTCTGTGTTGGAACACACAGTAATTCTGTAAGTTTTCTATAGCTTTATGGAAGAGGAAAGATCTTGGTATGGATTTAACAGAATTCCTGAATGGTTTATTTTCAAATTGTCTTGTCTTTGTCTTTAAAGCTTTAGTGAACAGTATCTAACTTGTGATTTCAGTAGTGCATTTTATATTCATGAAGCCCAAGTATACATTAATATGATAACCATGAATTAATTCTGCTTTCTGTACATTCAGTGTGAGAGTACTTGTCATGACTGCCAAGACTGGTGTTCTTGAACTGCGAAAGGATGGATGAGTGTATGCAAAACTCTTCTGGATTCTGTATTCAGTGAAATAAAATGGGCATGTTTGAGCTAGTGCTGCTTCTCTAAATAACCTTTTTTAATGTCCGTCTCCTTTAATGTAGATACATTATACTCTACCAGATAGTCGGATTTTGGTTTGTGCACCGTCAAACGCTGCAACAGATCTGATTTGCTTGCGGCTGCATCAAAGCAACCTGTTAAAACCAGGAGCTATGGTCCGAGTTAATGCTAGCTCGAGGTCAACAGAGGTAAATACTATAGATATCTGCCAGTTAATATTCTGATCTTAAAATACTGGTTTTGTAGTGTAACTGTCAGTGTTTATTAGGCTTGTTTAGGATCCAAAGTATGAACATATTACCTCAGCTTTTCCAGAAGATTAACTGGGAAATGTTGCTCATAGTCCTTAATGTGATTGTGTGAGCATAGAATCTTAACCTCTTTCCTGTAGGGCTTAACTCCACGAGCAGCACATAGGTATCAGTGCTTTGACTTACAAAGCTACCCTAAAATCTGTTACTGAAGCCAAGTCTTTGTCTCTGAACTAAGACTACTTACACAGAAAAGTAAGCAAGTAGGGTTATCGTTAGTCTTTAAAGTCATCTTGATACAGTATATGCACATTGTGTGCGTATTACGTATATGTATATATGTATGTATAAGAAACATCTGTATGTTCAGTTTTGATCCTTACAATAAAGAAAATGCAGGTATCTTGCGTATGTACTACTTTGAGGCAAACTAATGAAGTATTCATTTTGGTGTATGAATGGGTCTAAATCTAAGCATTTTGCTCAGCTTCTAAAATAGTTTTCAGTGGACTTTTTAATAAAATTAAAACGTTGAGTTTGGCATTTTATTTTACAAAGTACTTTTTTGTTTCTGCAGCAAATTGATGACGCGGTGAAACCTTACTGCGAAGATGGTGAGGACATTCAGAAGGCATCATGGTTCAGGATAATAGTTACCACGTGCAGCAGCGCAGGAATGTTTTATCAAACAGAAATACGGTAGAGTACTATAGCTAGGAATATGGCTGAGATAGCCAGATACTACAAAACCCAGGGCTTTAGATACCCTGCACTGCAACTGAAGCTTTTTTTAATACAGTTCATTGCATGCGCCTCTATTTGGAAATTGTCTTCCTAGCAAACCACTTGATTTCAGTAACGTTTCAGCAGAAACTTTCTCCATGGTAAATTTAAGAATTATCTTGAATAATGTTAACAATTTTTGACATAACTTCTCCTCCACTACCAGTTGGGAGCCTTGGAAATTGCTGTAACTTTGTAAAAGGACACACTGAAGCCTAACTGGCTTTAGTCGTTTGGTAGAGACAGCCTGGGGATTGTCTTTGCTACACAAAGTGCATTGTTCGAATTCAATAGCTGAAGGAAATCAAGAACAAGGTTAAGATGCTTTTCTAAGTGTCTTAACCTTGGTATAAACAGTGCTTTAATTACGAAAACCAGTGGTTGTGTATATCAGAGTATGTAAGGAAAACCAAAGATGACAAAGTTACTGGGTTGTTTTTTCTATAGTTCACGTTGAAAATATCGATCTTTGCTCTGTGTGCGTGGAGTTGCCTTGAGGTTTGCTAGGAAGACAATTTCCAAATAGAGGCGCATGCAATGAACTGTATTAAAAAAGCACGCTTGAGAAGGAAGTTACAGAATTGCTGAGGTCAACCACAGGGTGGCAGGATGAACTAATCTGAAAACAGCCCGGGTTTGGCTTCATGTTGTTTAATTCTAGGCTTGGACACTTCACTCATGTGATCCTGGATGAGGCAGGGCAAGCAAGTGAACCAGAGAGCCTGATTCCTCTTGGGTTGATTTCGGAAGCTGACGGACAGGTAGTTGCCTTAGCATCATTTACTGAAAGGAAAAAATGTTTTGTTTGCTCTTTTCACTTTTATGAATGTTGTAGAATGCAAGCAGCCATTTCCTGGTAATGACTGTGGAATTCTGATTACTTGTAATAATCTTGTTCACGTACAATATTCATTTCCCTCACTGAAACGAGTTGTTTTATGTCTTAAGTCTACACTGGTAGGACAGGACACAGTGGGTGGAAGATGTCAAAATAAAAATATCCTTTCTTAGTTTAAGACAATGTACTTCTGTCCTAGGCCTAATCCTGCTTTGCAAACAGATGAGATGTTTGGAGGAAAGCAGAGTATTTGATATAAATTGACCTTTAAATTCTGAAGTGTGTATGTTTTTATTGAAACTACATTTTTTTCATAATTGTTTTAATACAAGATGGATTTTTTTTAATGGCATATACAGATAGTTCTTGTTGGAGATCCAAAGCAGTTAGGGCCAGTAATAAAATCTAAAATTGCGCTGGCTTTTGGATTAAGTATGTCCTTGCTGGAAAGACTGACGTCAAGAGATATATATCTGAGAGATGAGGATGCTTTTAGTGCCTGTGGAGCATACAACCCTTTGCTGGTGAGTAGAACTACAATTTTAATTATTTTTCTCATCTAAAGCAAAAAAAGGAGAAACTGTGGTTCTTGCTGTTTCCTTACCACCTTTTTGCTCCCTGATGCTTAATGATAGGTCTAGCTTGAGCATTAGCTTTCTAGGAAAGCTTGATTATTTTAAATATATACTCTGAATAGCAAGGATGCTGAGCCTTCCAGCATGTTAAAACCCTTCTTTGAAAGGGTTCTCTATTCTTAAGCAGAATAAGTGAAATATGGTGCACAAAGCAGAATTCTGAATAAAGGCGTAAAATTCCTTTCCATCCCCGTTGTCCACGTTTACCATGATTTCATAACTTAATTTCCGGAACTGACCAAGTACAACTTTGACTTTTACCAACAAAAGATTTTGTCAGCTTTAGGAAAGCTAAATGCTAGAGGATGGTAAGGTAGTATCTGCTTGGGAGCTGTGTGCTGTGAAGTCTGATGAATAATTATCCATTTAGTTACAGATTTCGATCTTTTGTCTCTGCAGATCACAAAACTCGTAAAGAACTACCGGTCCCACTCTGCATTGCTTGCCTTGCCATCTAAATTGTTTTATCATAAGGAGCTAGAAGTTTGCGCAGACACTTCAGTAGTAACTTCCTTGTTGCATTGGGGGAAGTTGCCCAGGAAGGGATTTCCCTTAATTTTTCATGGAATAAGGGTATGTAAAATGTTCACATAGCAAAAGTATGAATAAGGAGGCCTGACAGAAGTTAGGTGTTGTAGATGAGTTTTCTTTAGAATGAATTCTAGGAAGGGTATGAAAAAGAGTAAACTTTCTTTTGCAAATAACGTGACTTCCTGACCCTTCCTGGGTTTAGAAACAGCTACTGAAGTCAGATGTTCGCTAAGAACTTGAGCAGCTGCCTGTTGAAGTGTGTTGTGGAGACATTTCGATACAAATTTAAATTCATAGCAGATTGACCAAGATGGAGCTAGTCAGCTGCCTTTAGATTGCTTTTGATGAGTTTGCTACATTAGAATGAATACAAGCCTCTAAAACTAGAGGATTATTAAGGCTTAAGTAGGCAGGGGAAAAGTAGTACTCTGGAAAAAAGGTTTTCTTTAGTTTTGCAAGAAGTTAGTAAAAAGTTATAATATCGACTGCTTGGGAGAGGCTTGGTTTTGAACTCTTCTACCTTGCACAAGAGCAAGGTACCAACTTGCTAATATATTATTCTGAGCTGAGATTGAACTCTTTTGTTGCACACTTAAAATCACTGTCATAAATTCTTCAGCTTAAAAAAAAAAACCAATATAAAATGTTAGGTGGTACTTGTTCATTGGAAAGGGTGTATAGTAAAAGAAGAGAAACTGTATATAACATCACATGGCTTGGGGTTTTTTTTGCATTTAGGATGTATAAGAATAATCTGTTAATAAATATGTAGTCACTTCTGCATCTGGTGTTCATCATCTCGTTTCCTTTCCCCTAATACAGGGCAGTGAAACACGTGAGGGCCGCAGTCCTTCATGGTTTAATCCAGCTGAAGCAGTGCGAGTAATGCAGTACTGCTGCCAGCTTGCGAAAAACGCTGCAGTGTCAGTGACTGATATTGGAGTGATCACACCCTATCGTAAACAGGTATAACTGATGTTTAAGAACTTCAAAGTTGCTGTATTTAATGTTGTGATTTTTACATTGTGGCTGCGGTTTGTTAAAGCAGGGAGGCATATCTCAAAACTTCACTGTTGTGTGTCTTATTACACAGTGCATTGTCAACCATTAATGATGTTTCCGTTGAAATGTAAACCTAGAGAAAGACAGCAGTAGTGACATTCTACTTTTTTAGTTTTAAAAATCGGAAATTAAGGAGACATCTGCTTGCAGTCTTGGAGACAAGCAGTTTTCTCGGTTGTGGGGAGAAAAGAGTGCAAGTCAAGAACTCACTTTCCAACAGCTGGAACAGCAATCTGATTCTGTCGCTGACTCTGCAATGAGGGGTGGAACGAAAAGGAAATGCAGTGAAATAGGTCGCATGCCACCTTGTTATGGCTTTGAATAAACTAGAGGGATTGGGACTTCTTAGCTGTCCCTTAGTCAGACTTGAAGTTTATGCTGCTATTTAAACCTGTAGAGAATGTTGAATGTCAACTTCAGACGCTGTGCTTTATTTCTAGAACTATTTATATTCACGTCTGTTAAGTGTGCGATGTCTGCTTTCATTTTAAAAAGAAGATTAAATCTCCTTTCATTTCCAGAGCATGCTCTGGGCAGTGTGCACGTTGTGTTTCTTGATGTTTGCATCTTGCTATTCATGGCCTTGTGTGGCTGGGCTGGGGGTGTGCTGGGAGGTGTGTGGAAAAGACCAGCCCTGTTGGAAGAAATCTCACTTGCAAATTAGAGCTCTGCCTGTGCTGATCCTGCCGATCAGGTGTATGACCCTGCCTATGTTTACAGTTATTGTTGAAGTATTTATATACAGTAATGATGGGACTGAACCTCTTATACTCCCTAGAACTTCTCACATCATTTAATATGATTATGTCCTTCATCTGCTTATGATGCAAGCCATGTCATAGTAATGTCCTCTTCAAGAAAGTCACCTTGTATTGGAGGAAAGCTGGTTAGAAAGTAGTCACTGACTGTAATGCTCAGCTTAGCCAGGCATGATTTCTTAGTAAGCTTCTCAGAGCAGTTAAGGCTCAGTCCCCAAGCAGCTTTTAGCAGATGATAATATACTGCTCACACACGTACCAGCATTCCAGTGCTTGAGACTCCTCGTTCTCTTTCTCTTTTGGGGAGGGCACTTAAGGTCACATCTCACCGCTATCTTTCCCGCTGCGTGATGCAGCTGGTGAGCAAAGGTGGAGTCTCTGCACTGTCATCTTGAGGGGCTGGGGAAGCTGCCTGCCCTACTGCATCTGTGCGAAGCATGGGTTTGGATATAATGCACATTAGAAGAAGGTTTATGGATCTGAGTTGCTCTTCTCATTAAAATCTGGATTATTAAAAATCTGTTGATTTCTGCTTAATGATGGTAGTGAGTACTTCATCTTCTAAAGTGGCGTAGCAAGTGTGATACTTATCAGGAAAAGTTACTGGTTTATTTTAAAACCTTACTAGTGGATGATGGCTAAGCTTGGTGTAGGCATTCCCTGTGACATCTCTGTGTAAAAACACGTACTTGTATGTGTAGTATGTTTTCAGTTTTGAACTAATCCACTCTCAAATGTAAAAATAAATTCCTTCAAAAACTTTTTTTTGGTAGGTGGAAAAAATTAGACTACTTCTGAGAAGCATTGATTTGGCAGACATTAAAGTCGGCACAGTAGAAGAATTTCAAGGGCAGGAGTACACAGTTATCATCTTATCAACAGTATGTATATTTGTTGTGGTCCTCTGGAGAGTTTTTGTATGTATCTAATTCTGTTTCCTTTTTGATATAGGGCTTTTAAAAATAAAAGTTTAAAAGCTGTATTTTTGTAATTTTATCTCAGTATCTGAAAAGTTATTTTTAAGCACATGGAAACAGTATAGCATCAGTGATTTGAGGTGATATTCAACCTTTGTAGATAACTTGTACAGAATTTATTGTAGAGTTTCAAGCAGGTAATGTACCTTCCACTTAGGTGTGCGTAGGGAGAATGGGAACTGGATGTGTTATCAATATTAGAGAGACAACAGTGGGAATCAAAGTATTAAAACATAATTGCTATTTGACTTACGGAAGCTGATCTAGGTTCTTGCATACTTTTTCACCTTCAGTTGAGGAATCATCACTTGATGGTATACAGCTGACGACTTGCCAGACACTGACTGTGCCTATATGTTGAATACCCTTTATCACAACTTATTTTGCGTTGGAAGGAGAGCAGTTGGCAGTCTTCCATTATCAGCACTTCAAAGTGCTGTGCTGGTTGTATTATAGGGATATCGGTGAAGATCTCTAGGTGCTAGGGTTTTGAATCTGAAGCTGTCAGGTGCCTTGAAGAAAGGGTCTGAGAATAATCCATGCTATGTTTCTACTTCGGCAGTACACTGGTCACAAGCCATCAGTTTAACAGTGCATCACCTCCTTGATTTGGGGTTGGTTTTGGTTGATTACATGTATGTAAATATGAAGGTATGGGGCATTAACTGCGTCACTGGAGACTTTTAGATAACCATGAAAATACCAAGGTATTTAGTTTTGTTTTTTTGCAGTAAATGGGTCTTTCAGAAAAGTGCTGATGAAAGGGAGCGTTCAGGAAAATGTGGGAAGGTGGATGTGTTTGGGAAGATGATGTTTATGGATTTGTGGTGAGCCCATCCCTTGCATTTGGCAAAGGGGAAAAGAGGATTGTGTCCCAGAGTACTGGGAGCAAGTTGCTGTTATTACTTGGAAGCTGAAAGCCCATGTCTCTCACCTTCTTTTGCAAACTTGATGACCAATATGCTTCAGCAGATGTCTCTTTTTTTTTCTCTTTCTTTTTCTGAAAGATCTTGGTCATATTACATACAGATGAGACAAAGATGTAGTTGTAGTTTTCAGGCAGTTGATACAATGTGGGAATCCTGTCTGCAGCAGCTGAGACATCAGGCTTCAGAAGACTGAGATTGAGTTGAGGTTAGATGCAGGCAAATGCCAGTTCCCACTCACTAAATGCTAGGTATTACTCCAGTGCACACACATATCCCTGGTATTTGAATTCACATGAAAGCCCCATAAAGGGAAAAACTACAGCAGCTTCTTTGTCTGGCTTTTCTGTCCTTTGTCTTTTTAGGCATGTGAGACTGTTGGTTGCAGCTCTTGACAGGAGACTTTTCTTTGTGCTTTTAAGGAGAAGTCAATGTGGAGTTGAAGTGTAAGCAGCAGCAGCTAAGTCAGCTGACAGCTACTGAGGCTTTCTGTAGATGGCTTCTTGCTACCAGAATATGTGATACCAATCCTTCATGTTCTGAGACAACATCCATCAAATACACACGGTTGTAGGCATGCTGAACTCCTGGACAGAAGTAAAAATCTGTGCTGGATCAGTGGAAAAGGCACTTGGGAAACCTTAGAGAAAGGCAAACTTAATACTTTGAACATCAGCGAGTGATACCAGTTCAGTGTATGTGATAGTGTTTGAGGGTTTAGACTCTGGTTTGGTGGGCATTTTGGGCCCTACATAGCTGTATTTCTACAGTGTGGAACTCTGTTCAGAATATTAAAAAAAGGCCTGCACATGCTTGCTTTTTTCCAAATGGTAATGTGGTTTTGGTGCAGTAAGTCTCAAAGTAAGACTTAAGTGTTTGGAACATGGAGTTCCTGAGGTGCTTGTGACCTTCTGGGCTGTTCAAGAATGTACAGTTCAGGCAGGGCCTGTGTAATGGGATATAAGGAAAACTGAAAAGGAGGAAGACATGACCAGTACTGGACAACTTTTAACAGAGGTACATAAAATTTCCAGGAAAGAGGAGGATAAAACAACCACAGCACTGAAAAGCAGGCTGAATGTGGGGGTGGAGGAGCAGTTGGGTTTGGGGGTTCTTCTGTGGCTTGGGGAAAGATTTGGTGGGATGTTCTTGCTGTTTTTTTTCCTGAGGGCAGTGGTACTATGCTTACTTTCCTTGTTCTGCATCATAGCATAGCTTTTCGATCCAGCATTGTATCCCTCATAAAGCAGATCTAGGTATGTACTATGTGCCTATTTCTAAGAACTCGTTATTTAGGTCATGAAAACTTTCTTTTGTCAAAGATGGGTTCAAATATAGATGAAATAGAGGTGAAAATTTAATGAGCAGTAGTTACAGCAAACTAGTTGCTTTGGCCACTTTTTCTGAGCTAAGTCAAAGCGCACTGATGAGCCTGCTGAAGGAGGCGGGCAGAAGGACACACTGAGTTGTCATTCAACTGCAGGAACTGGAATACCAGCAGCTTTAGCGCTGCTCCTACTCAAAAGATAAAGTTGCTGGGTTTTAGGAAGCAGTTATAGTATCTGGTGTTTCAAACTGCAGTGGATGGTCCTGATGCTAAAATAAAACTAGTACACTATTCTCTTGAACTTGCTGAAGTTGCATTGGCAGCCTGTTGGAGAATAGGCCTTCTGTGGGAAAGCCAATGGTGGGAAATAGCTTGCTGAAATTTGGATTATGACGCTAACGTGTGTGCTGCTGACACTGAGCTATGGATTGCTGTGGGAAGCAAATATTATGTTAAAGTTACACTATGGCTAGGTAAGTTGCTTTCTCATTATTCTACTTCTAAAATTATCCATAATTAATTTTAGGTCCGGTCTCGTGAAGGCTTATTTGATGATGACAACCAGTATTTGGGCTTTCTGTCTAACCCAAAGAGATTTAATGTAGCAATTACTAGAGCGAAAGCCTTGCTGATTGTTGTGGGAAATCCTCATGTTCTTGTGAAAGTAAGTTTTGTTTTTATATCTTCTAATTGCATGTGGTATTCGCCACAGTAAATGAATGATTTGGGTGTTAATCCGATGTGGGGGAACATCAGGTTATGTTAAGAATTGGTATGCTGTTCTAGGTCTGCATTTGGGAATATTTGAGCTCCATAGGTTCCTGTAAGTGTGGACAGTTCAGGCACCCACACAGCAGACTTCCAAGCACAAAGGAAATTGTAATGCTGATCTGTGCATACAGGCTTCTATCTCCTTTTCCTCTCTAGAAGAGGTCAGAACCTCAATGCTGAAGTTCTTCAGCAGCCTGCAAGTCTCCAGTGAGCATGTTCTGGATAACTTCATGCAATCAGACTCTTCACAAAATGCAGTTGCTTCGCCCTTCAAATTGGAGGGTGGTAGAAGCGATTATTCCCAATTAGTCTAGCAGCCTGCCAGGGAGCTGGTCTCCCTTTGAACCCATGCATGGTCCTTCCATAGGAATAGGTGAGCTTTTCTTGGTGTCATGTCTGACTTTCCGGATAGGGAAAGCAGTATTCCAGAAATGGGCTGAACAGAGTTTGATCTCCCCACACCTATGTGCAAAAAATGTAACTTGCAGCAGCTGGAGGCATCTCGCTCCCATGTTACACCATGCTTGCACCACTGGTAGAGTTCTGTTTCTGGCAAAGGTCCATTAGGTCTCCTGTGTTCATTGCCATGTTAATTTGTTGGAAAGCTGACTTCACAGAGCAGCGTGATTTAAATCAAACATTAATCTTCTCTTGTAGGATGCCTGTTTCTGTGCACTGCTGGAATACAGTTTAGTGAATAGAGTTTATGTAGGTTGTGACCTGCCTTCGGAGCTGGAATGCCTGCAGAACTGAGCGTCTGCTCTTCGCTTTAGCCTTGCTGGATGTGGATCACTTTCCAATATTTTGAAAGCTAGTCTCGTTTGAGAGACTGGTAAATAACAACAGCCTGTGATATCGTAGGAGGATTTGATTTTGCAATAATAAGTACAGTAAACATAATAACATGGAACGTAACTGTATTTTCTCCCACCCCGTAAGAAGAGTCTGAGCATTAAATATTAAATAAGAGCTGTTTTGACTTTAGTATTTTACGTATCCCCAAATGATTCATTACGTATTTGATGACCTTAAGGATTTGGGGGTGGGGTGTGCTGGGGAAATGTTTGAGGGGACTTTACTGTAATTAAAGAAACTTGCTTGAAGATTGATTTAAACATGTGTCTTCTGTTTAACAATGTATTATGTGTTACTGGGCATTATTTTTAATCAAAATAGTTGTTCATGGTAAGGTAAGCAAAAATGTTTATCTTGCTCCCTTTTACTGACAGGTGTGACTAGTTTTGCAATGCTCAAGATGCATCCAGTCCTCATCCATTTTGAAACATAACAATACTTCACTGAAATTCAGTCCTGAGCAAGTCCAGCACCTTCTGCCCTTGGGGAAAAGGCACATGTTCTGAAATGTGTGGAAGTTTCTGAAAGATTTTTAATACTTCAAGTGAAAAAAGTTTAACAGTACAAAATAGTTGTGGCAACTTGTTTGGTTTTCAGTTCAAAACATGTATGACTTTATGCCTTTGCATAGAACAATATGCCTGAGTCTGTAACAGTATGCCTGAATCCTCCAAGCTTCAGAAGAAAAATATTGATTAACTCTTACATTAGCTTTTCCTTAGTCTGTAATTTTTTCAGCTTCTCAGTTTTCTTGGGCTTTTGTAGCACCTCCTAAAACTGGACCATCCCAAGGGCACATATGTGTCTTGTAATTCTGTTATGGGTGTGTTACAGTGATATATCCACAATGTGAACTGGAAAGATAACGTAAATATCTCCACTTGGCTGATGTTGATTATCTGAAGCCAAGCATGCTTAAAAACCCTACTTCTGGTTTTTAAGGCCCTTGCATATACAGCTGAGATCACACAGGGTTTTCTTGGGTTTCCAGCTATCTGTTGTGGTGTATATCTCAACACTGCCTCAAAGGGTAGTTTGAAGAAAAAGAGAATTAAAGCAGTGTTTAATGTTTCTACAAATACACTGTAGAAAAATGTCTTGTTTTATTTTGACAAAATTAAAAATATCTGAGTTATCTGTATTCCAGCTATCTGCTTCACTGGGCCCTGTGCTGTCCCCTTAAGCCATGGTGTTTCTCTCTCTCTCTCTCTCCCCCATCCTCTCCTTGGTGATTACGTCTTGCCACACACCGCTTCAGGACTAGTTGGACGCTTAGCCACTGTGTTTAGGAACTGCCAGTACAAGGTGATGGCTTTCTATAACACAGAAGTGTTTTGGGCAGGACTGTAGCCTACAGAGAAACAAGTGCAGCTGGGGGGGAAGAGAGCAAGGTGGTGTTTGCTTGTGTACTGTGTGCTGGTATCGCTTCCCTCCCTGGTGTGCACAGTAGTTCTTTCCTCTGCAGTGCACAGGGTGTAGGTACTGCAACTTACACGACGGCAAATTGGTGAAACATCGAAGCCAGACAGAACACAAGGGTAGGCTGTGCTGTGGCACAGAGCGGGGAGAGCCCGGAATTGCCTCTCGCCCAAACTGCGCTGTGTGTGTCCGGCTGGAGCCACAGCTCTGCTGGAGCAGCCCTCGAGGCTGCTCAGCCCAGCCTCCCTGGCACGGTGTTGTGTTGCTCAAACTGCTTTCACTGGTGACAGGCCAGAAGAGGCGGTTTGTGCTGTTGCAGTGTGATGCTGAAAATACCAGCACTGGTGAGGCCGTGCCGCCCTTCTGCAGCAGACGCAGAAGCTGTTTAACGAAGAGCCTGCCCTAGTTGCTGCCTGTTGGAAGGCCGCTTGCTCCAGGATTGGGGTACGATGTACCACACCTCACAAACCACTGCTTAAACCTACCACTGCTTAGCCTTGCTGCCCACCTCGCTCCTTGTCAAAGTGCTCCTGCTCTCTTCAGAGAACAGGGAAGAGATCGTAATGGAGTTGGATGACACTTACTCTATCACAAGATACAGTCCAGAACTTCTGATTAGTATTTCCATCACCTCTGCATTGCGAAGTAGCAGAGGATTGATTGTATGATGATACTTAATCGCTACAAGTTAATAACTATAATAGTTTGCATCTTGACATCATAAAAAAACCTACTTGATTTAATTTTGAATATTGTGCTTTTACTACTCAGCAAAAGTCAAATGATAAATGCCTGTTATCATACAGGCTGCCTATTTTTCTAAAAGAATCCTTAGTTTAAAGGGCAAGTACACATATTTGAGGGAAGGAAAAAAGCCTTTCATCCAGCAACTACATTTTACCAGTGGAGAAACTGATACGCTCTTTTCACTTTACCAGTAGAGAAACTCATCTACTGTTTTCACTGATAACTCTTCTTACTGTAACTCGTATCACTCACAACTAAAATCTGGAAACCTTTTCCCTGAGTTACTAAGAATTGCCTCTGACAATCTTAAAAAGTGCTTCCAGAAATGTGCTTGTGCCTCGCTGAGACTGCTGCACAAAGCAAGCTTGCACTCGCTGTGTTGAAGAGCGGGGAGAAGGGGGATTCCTGTTCCTGCTTCTATTCTTATGCATTTAAAGCTGCTTTTTTTTTTTTTCCCCTACCCCTTTCACCTCACTCTGGGTGCTGCTGCTTATTAATGACTGAGAAGCTGTCCTGTGTGACATAAAACAACTTCATCTTCCTCCTCCTCTTGCAGTATTTCTCATCTCCTTCTGCCTACCCAGCTGCCACTGAAAACCTCGTTTGAAGAGGGACGTACCCATCAGAACTGTACAGGATTGCACAGTGTTTGCAACTTCAGAACAGTTTCTTCTGGCAGCTTGCTGTGCAGGCAGGGCTGGTTGTTCCAGAGGTGTTGGCTTCGATATTCTAGTTGTCTCTCTCATGAAGACATATGGCCTGATGAGCTGGAATGAGGAAAAGGGGAGAGAACAGTTTGAGTTCTTGCTGTTGGTTAAAATCATATTTCATTTTTAGTACATCAAAACTTTATATAAAATTTCTTTTGGGATATGTGAAAAAAGAGGATCCGCTGCTGCATGCAAAAGTAGCAATGAGAGAGTCAGTTGAGTCAGTCTCTCTCTTTTGGAGGCAGTTGAACTAAGTCTTGCTTTGCATGAAAACCATGTTCCAGTTATTCCGTTCTGTTTACAGGAACAATCTTTTCCCAAAAAAGGAAAAAAGAGACTCTTTTGTCATGGCTGTTTCTGATTTATTAATTCCTTGCCTTATGAAGAAATTACAAAAGCCAGACCGAGGGCTTCCGTGATGCCTTGAGGAGCGTGTCAGAGGTACATCAAGTCAGAGAACGCAGGAACACTCTTATAAATGTGTCCCTTTCCCTGCTTCCCTCCCAACGTCCTGTTGAAGACATCACAGGCTTAAGAAAAGCAAAAGACAGAGACAGAGGTAGTCTGTAAAGCAGGCGCTTCCTGAGCCATTTAGCGGAAGCAGTTAAGAGTTGACATTTTAAAAAAAAAAAAAAACCTTCGAAAGACCAGTCAAGCCATCGGAAAAGCCTAGAGGTTTCCTTGCCAGACTCAAAGCCCGTGGTACTCAGCTGCATGCCGAACAGGTTCTTCTTGTTTTCTTGGTACTTTTCAAACAGTAGCGAAGGTTGAGAAGCACGTTCTGCGTTGTAGCGGCCCCAACAGCTGCATTCTGCACCGTGGCAGCCAGCGCTCCCTCAGTGGATGATCTTTGCTGTTTGAAAGAAGTACCTTCACTTGTAGGTGGCTGCATTTAGATCACAAGTAAAAGACAAACTATCCACTTCCAGTAGCATTTGAGAATGAGGGCTTTGTTAGTGTCAATCCCCCATATTGCTTCTTTTAAGTTCCCCTTAAATTGCTGTTGTTCATCTGTCCACGCTGGTGCAACGTGGCTTGGGTCACACGAAGTCACTGATTGATGCAGGAGTTGCTGGGCAAGTATTTTTACAAGTTTCCTTTGTTATTTCTGCTAGTTCCACTTCTTTTTTTCCATAACAGCTGTTTAACTGCACTTTAACAAAAGTTACATCCCTACCTGCTACGTAGCGACATTTCGAAGGCCAGACTGCGGGCCTCTGGCATGAGCCGAATTACTCAAGCCCTACCAGCTCAGTAGCCCGAGACACGTGCGGGGCTGGCTGCTGCCCAGCGCCACGCTGCCCAGGCTCCCCACGCAGGCCCTATGGGTCTTGCCACGTAATGGGGGGTGGGAGCCCTCTTAGTCCTTCCTATCCTTCATCCTCTGAGAAAGGTCAGTCTGCACCTGAGGGGAAAAAAATTGAGGCTGTGGCTGCAGCCTGTATTCACCACCTTGAGTGGCCGTGGTTTTTCCACAGGGCCCGTTATCCCACCAAGGACAAGAAGCAGAATTCAGCGTGTGGCAACCACGCCCGCTATTTGCTGCCTCCTGCAACCTTGCTTTTGCAGTGTTAGGCAAGTTCAGTACGCTTTTTTCCTTTGAATAAAATAGCTTCAAGGCGGCAAGGAGCATTGTGCTGCACGTTTTGGCGCTCAGATACCAGAATAATGAGTATTCTAAATCTTACTAAGAAACAGAGTCTTTTAAAAATCAATATTGGTTTTTTGCAGCTAACAAAAAAGAACATCAGCGTTCATTCGCAGATTCAGAAACAATTAATTTGTCTTGGTTTTACCAGGTTTGTTAAAATTTATATACTCTGATTATTTAAACAATTGGTGCTTTTTTTTAAAAAAAAAAAAAAAAAAATAGTAATGGTAACAAAACCGCAATGTGCCTCTAAGCTGTGGGAAGGGTGTTCTTCCAGCACATGGTGAAAAGTGGGAGTGCAAAATAATCCTTTTAAACCGCTTACATTTCCTTACAGCTTGAAGTGTTGTTATGTCTCAGTATCTCTAAAG